AAAGAGCACTCTAGCTTCCTATTTATGATCTTCAAACCTCGGCGCAAGCAGTGTGAGGCTACGCTGTTTCGGCAAATACCGCAAGAGCTGTCGCTGCGACTTAATAATTCCTCCTTTCGTTCACCTAGAGCGGTAGCTGCTCATTCAGTAAAGTACAGACGACAGCGCACTTCCAACGATTTCCAAATCTTCACTCATAGGAGATTGTTTTGTAGGTTTTTTATTTCCACTGATGCGAACTCACTTCCACTAGCTTTTTGCCGCCGCAGTCCCTGCTCTCGGCTTTATCTGGAAACATTCTTCTTTGTTCGCTGGACGTATATTATTAAGTATCTGTGATCGAGAATCAATAAATTATTCTTACTTGTAATTGCATCGTCACAGCAAAACCCAGATTTCCAACCATTGTAGCAAGTCGAGCCCGTTGGGCATTTCGACTTCTCACGACTACAGTGTCCTACGGGGTACGCATCTCCAGGACAAGTGAGATAGTCAGCTAAACCCACTTAATCACATGTGAAATTTGAGCACCAATACGTACACTTAGAGAAGGAAGTAAACGCTGCAGCATACCTGGCATGCACTTCTGCTTACATTCCGTTATTGATGGGAAGTTGTTTGCGTTTCCACCACAGCCACTGTATTCGAATGGGAAACATCTCGCTCTCTTCACATCGTAAAAGTACTGGAATAAAGGTGACATGTGCTCCGGGTTATTGGCAGTTTTCTTCTTTCCCTCCCCACTCCTCTCCTACACACTGTGCCCTGCAGCTGGCTATTCAACACCATGTAGAATGATTAAGTGTGTGCTCCGTGTGCGTTCACGACCCACCAATTGAGCAGCATGCATGGTTCCGTTGTGTCTGAGTGATGTTCCCAACGAAATAATATTACTACAGGGTTGGTTACAGAACAATTTGCGTGTCATCCTTGCGCGGGGGCCACGCTAATCTTCTCTGTGTTGTTCCAATAATAATATGAGTTCAGGAATGATTACTAATTAGTTATTTCTCAGAGCTTGCCAATCTCTTAGAAATCCATCATTTCTCAGAAAATTACATTTTTTGGCGACGAAATAAGCTTCGCATGACTAGTAGTGTTTCTTGATGCTGATGACGATATTATTCCGTGCCAGCATACCTCACCTCTATTCAGTTTGATCTTCGCTATACCCTATATTGACTTTGGTGACCACTATTCGCTTAGCTTCACTTTATTCGCTTTTTGCAGTCCTTATCAATTATTAGGATGCTCCAAAAATAATGCGGGTCCCGATATGCCATGGATTCTTGAGAAATTTTCACACAAAAATCTCTGTCAAAACCTGAAACCCTAAATATCATTGACAAGCCCACTACATATTCTTTCCTTCAGTGTATGTGTATTTTAAGCTGAATTGTATTCTTGGGGCTTCTCATGGGTTTGAACTGGAGCTAACGAGACAGGATGTTCGGACAAGTTCAGTTCAATGTGCTAAAACTACTCATGGACCCGTCGAAAAAGCGATCAAAGATGAGGCTTAAGAAGCACCAGTGAAAGCGCAGCACAGCACTGGCTGAAATATTTGGTCTTCAGGAATTTCATCGTTGAGATGAGGTGGTCATGAGCATGCTTTTGTTGTGGACGACTCCCTTCTGAAGATTCCCATCGAAGACGATTCCGGACGAGCTGTGTTATAGCTAATGAGTAAGAGTAAGATTAATAAATCCTACAGATCCCAAAGACAACTGAATGGGTGGAAAAGCTGAACACGCTCAAATTGACTGAGCAGCAGCAGAATCGTTTTCCGATGTGCCACTTCCGCCCGTTTCAATTAACCAAACTACCAGCATTTGGGATTTGTTGTCATCTGCTATTAAGGGCCGACTCTTAGTGGCTAGAAGAAGACAACTCTCCAATGCTCAGAGTGCGGTGACTTTGAAAAAAAAGTCGTTGAAAGCCGAAATTTGAGAGACTACAGTAGAGCCGAACATTAGGCGGTCTTCCATGGGAGTGATGACTCATAGGAACCAGATAAATTCAATCCAACACCAGTGTATGTCTAGAATGCCAACAAAATGCTCTAGAAACACCAAGTCCGTCAACCGAGAGAAGTAGAACAACCCTTTTTGGCAATGACACCCAACCACATCTCCCATAAACGAATGCAAGATTTAACAGAGTGCCGTATAAAGCTCTGCTAAACACATCGTAAATGATGGATATCTCCACCACCAATACAACTTTGTTCTGCCATCTCCGTAACTTCTTGTATGAAAAAGCAAAAAATATGTATGAAAAAGCAAAAAAGCAGAAAATATGCGTTTCATTATACACTTTGCTTCTAACACCCTTATAATTCCTCATTAGTGTTTATCATGTTTTGTCACCTATGTTCAAGTATATTTTCTTTCCATTCTACATAGTAGATATAGGCAAGGACGCTTTGATCCATATACGACTGCATGGTCCAACAGTAGGCCACACCGAACTGATGGCATCGGCTGTATCCCGCTGGCAGGCCAGGGCACAAAGATCCCTCGACAATCGCCTAATATGTATCATAATTTTTCGAGTCTTCAAGCAGTGATCAGTTAGAGACCTTTTCCGCGAAGCCACATACAGATTTGTACGAAAACTGCTCAATTCTAATGGCAACAAGAAAAGAAATAGTTCTAATGTGGGCTAAAGGCAACATTTCAGCATTATTAAGAAGGTAAATTCAAAACACTCTGAACAACAAGCTTGAACTAACAATTAATTCAAGACAAAGGTCGCGCTCAGCCGCTCTATGGAGGTATTTTCCGTGTCAGGAGGTCGTATGTGAGTAGCTGCACACATTGCAGCAACCTCCTACCACAAAAGGCGCCGTCAAGCACTAGGCGCTTTCGATTTCAATCGAAGGCCACCCGGCCAATCCAAGACCGCCCACCTCCGGAAGTGATGCGTGGCTGTCATGACGTGTGAAATCAGCTGGGTTGAGTGCGGCATCAACCGATAGAACGGTTGGCATGTTTGGAAACTCGTTTGAACGAGCCTCTCTTCCAAGCCAGCTTCCTTCACTGCTAGCGAGGAAGGGATTCCGTTTACGGTCTAGTCTACGGTTTCTTTTCGTTTTTTCTCCACTGTCGTTCCATTTTGCACTTCTACACACAGTTTCAATCGTCATGATCCCCAACATTGTGCCCGACTTTTGCCTTCAAGGTCAGCACCACGGTGCAGATTACCCCATGTGCAAATCTGAATTAACAAGTTTGAGTGGGCCCTGTGAGATGTAGTAATCAACGGCAATGATCGAGATCGTTGTGTTATTGCTTTGGAGTTGAAGTGGAACGCCGGTAATGAAAAAAGGAGGAAACCATCGACAATGACGAAAATAGAGCCGCCGCCCCAGTAATGGCAAAACGAAATAACAGTGAATTGTGGGGGAGGGTCCATGGTGGTGAGATGAGCATGGGTGAATCCCCAAGCATTACCGTCTTAGCCATCTTTAGTTGTGGCGCCCGAGATCTAGAACTTTG